TTGATCGTCAACCTGATGCAAATGTTGAAGGGGGGGGGGGGGGGGGGTGGTAGCACTAAAGGAGTGGTATCATTATCATTTGCTTTTTAAACATCTGGTTGTTGTTAAAGTGGATACTGTATCTAATCTAGCATTTTTATCTAAAGGTTTATAAATAATAGTTTTTGTTATATGAAGCCTTGAATCATGATTATTTTTCATAAACTATACAAAAGAAAATATCCCCCTGCGATGGCTCATGTGGATTTTCTTCCTGTCTGTCTTTCAGAGTCTGATGAGCCATGATGGAGGTATGACACATACATACACAAAACACACACAATGAAAATGCACAAACACACCTCTTTGGGATGATGTCCTCCTCTGAGTTATTGTTGTTTCTTAGCAGTGGGGTCCCTCTCTTTCTATTTCTGTGTGTGTGTGCGTGTGTGTGTGTGTATGTGTGTGTGTGTGTGTGTGTGTGTTAGTGTCTATGTGTGGGGGGGGAATAATAGTCTCGCTGAGGCAGGAGGGATGCAGGCCAGAGCATGCTCCTGAACCACCAAACACACACTGAGGGACTCTCCCATAGAAATATATACAGCTGCACACAAACACACACACATGCACCGAAAAAGGGCACACACATACACACACAGAGCGCGGCTCAGCGAGTCTATTGAAGCTCACACACACACACAAGGCCATGACTCTGCAGCCTGCAGTCGCTGGCTTTATCCCTCCTATTCACCAACAAGCCCTGTAAAGCCCCTAAAGCTTTGTCCCTGCAATCACACACACACACACACGTACACACACAAACACACACACACGCTTCTGCTGCATAAGCACTGAACCTTAGGGGTGCTGGAGTTGCCGTGGACACAGAAACAGAGAGATGAGGAGAGTTAGATGTTGTGTGTGTGTGTGTGTGTGTGTGGGTGTGTGTGTGTGTGTGTGTGAGTAGGTGTGTAGGTGTGTGTGTGTGTGGAATAGGGACGGGTAGGGTCTCTCAGGGGTGTGGTTAGTTTCCCCGATGGGGGGCTGCGCTGTATGTGTGTGTGAGTGTGTATTCGTGTCAGGGTGTGGTTGCACAACACTGAGGTGTGTGTGTACGTGTGTGTTTGTGGCTCACGGTCTCTAACGTCCCCCCTGATCATGTGTCATTTCCCCCCCTTTGCTCCTGCTCACTAGATGCCACCGGCTGCATGTCCGCCCCGCTCTCGGACTGCATGGACCCCGATCCCGACCACGTCGTCCTGGCCACGCAGCCCAGGACCGGCCCACCTGCCATACCAAGACCTGGTAAGACAGAGGGAGGGAGGAGAAAAGAGAGGGAGGGAGGGAGTGAGGGAGGGAGGACTGGAAGATTTTGGGCCGCAGCCAAGTTGGATTATAACCAGGACAAACTCACACGCACATGGAGGGGTGGACAGGCGTGGATACTCGCATGTTCCCACAAAGTGCGTCAAATCTCATATGGACTTTTGAACGTAAAAGATATGCAGCCAACACAGTCATGAACTCATAACGACACACACTTAATCAGTGTGTATCCACATACTTTATACTGAAAAGCACATGGACATCAGGCACTAGGTCTCCATGTTGATGTAATTTTTGTAACTTTTGACTACAATTCAGACAGTAGAATCAAATACATTCATTGATTTGCATTACTTTTATTCTCCATAATAGTATTACTATATTTTTTTAGTGTTAGACTTATCATTAGTTTTACTGTAGTACTACTACTTTGCTGTATTAACGCACTAGATTAATCATTATTAGCTTTAGTTTTGATCCTAGTAGGTTTAAAGGGGGAAAAAAACAATACAATACAGTTTTGATTGTAAATGGAAATCTGTTCATTTCTGTTCATTATCTTCCATGGTTGTTTCATTGTATTCAGTGGTGCTGACTTTGCGTTGGGGAATAGCTCTACAAAATAAAAGCTCAGCTTTCGGGGCAGCGTGATGACATTGTGCTTACGACTTATCTGCATTAAGATAAAGCTTCTACATCAAAAGACAAGTGTAAGAACAGAATCAAACCTTTTAATATATAACAACAACTGAATTACTGCTGAAGCAAATGTTTTTATGAAGTCCCCTTTTTTCGAGAGTGACCGTGTGAGGACTAAAGGTGAAATATTTTATTGGCAGTCTTTAAGGAAGGCGATTGCTATACAGTAGCTGTCCCTAATATAACTAGCTAGATATTTATTGGTGACTTAATCGCACAAAATACCTGTAGTTGACTATAGTCCCATCTACAGTAAACTTACAGTGAGGGAAAGTTAGGTATTTTTATTTTGTGTTCACTCGCCTGCATCTGTAGTTTGCATTACGAAAAGGATAAACAACATTTTGTGTTGTACTAATTACACATATAATAAACTGATATTGCAGTTGCAGATATGAGTTTATCAGAGAACACTGTGTCCCCGTCCTCACGCTTCACTCCCTCCACTTTTTCCTCCCAACCCCCCCCCCCCC